TGGCATGAGGCTTGTTATAGTTGGAAACATCCCTAAGTAAACAGCTGAGCTTAAAAATACTCCTTTTTTTGTCTGGCCTTTCAAAAAAAATAGTAGTTATTGCACAAAAGGAGACTATGCTGATGCCAATCATTGCATTCTAGCTGAAAACAGGAAGCCACCCCGAGTGTCTGTCCCCAGCACTTTGACCATGCGACTCGGACACTAAAAGCCTTGTTGGAGGATGTGCCCTGTGCTATGAATTGGATCTCTTTATATTTTTTTTTTTTTGGATGAGGTGGAAGGCTGCCTATCACAGATAACTGTGTGTCCTGCATGTCTGCTTCCTGGTCTCTGCCAGACTTCATTCATTTTGCTGGTGGTTTTCCAGCCTCTCTTTGAACAGGTGACTGTGATGGGGAGTTACCTGCTCATCCAGACCTGGTCTGGCAAGTGCTTCCCAAGTGCTCTCTAAATCCTCTGCCTTACCTTGTATGTCCTTTTGTTTCTGAACCCCAGAGGAGCGGTTTGTACTTCAATCAAAAGGCTGCCTTTTGCAACTGTGCTTGGACAGCTTAAGAAGCCAGGAGAAATAGAGTTTGCATCATTTTCTGGTGCAGCACACAAGAGCCTCAAGATCGTTCTGGATCTTGAAGCCCAACTGCAATAGTAAGGAGGGCAGGTCTTGCCAATCTGTTTCCCCAACACATCCTCCTCCTCTGGGTTAACGGCTGCCACGGAGCGTTCAAGGATTCCCAGATGTCACAGAAATCTTCGCTGAACTGGAGACTGCCTTTTCCCAAAGCAAGGGTGAGAGAGGGATTTTGTTTGGCCCCAACATTTTTGTGCCTTCAGTAAGAACTTTGTCACAGAAAAGGAGCTTTGGCTGCCTGAATGAATACATGATCCGTGAGTTCAGCTCAGGATCCTTCAGCATCTGTTGTCAGTTCCCCAGAGATGCTGTCTCCTGCTGCCAGGTGCTACGCCTGCAGACATTTTACTGTTCTAGATTTAAGCTGGATTTCCAGACAACTGCTTCTTAATTTTTTGAAGTCATTTTTCCTTGAAGACAAATCAGATTTCCTTCATGTTCCCTTCCTCCGTATCTCCTTCAAATCAGATTCAATTTGAAGTGAGAAATCCACAGTGTTGACGAACATAGCCCATGATGCAGGTCATACATGACCAATACATCACTATGACCTTCACCAGATCTTGGGAGCCTATAGACCTCTGTGGAGACAAAAATTAGCTCATGTTACCAAGACCCTGGATGCATTTCATGTCGCAGTAGCTGAGAAGAGAAAGGAAAAGGCATTTTGCATCATGATGGAAATAAAGATGTTAGCTACTGCTTCGTAGACACATATCACTCCTGACACTGCCCTCACCAGCTTTGAGCCTGTAGGACTCTACGGATTTAACTGAGCTGTATTCACACCACTGTGGAAAGGGAAGAAGCCTGTTAGTTTTTATTTTGTGAGGGCAATTGTAGGAAGAAACGATCTGGTCATTCTTCACTTTGCCTATGACAACGTAAAGCCTGATGTGTAACCTGCTGAGCATCCAAGACTGCAGTAAGAAGCAGGAGTCAGAGCTGGTGCTCAATACCAGAGGAAGGAAGAGCTTCTGCTTCTTTTTGGCAACCCACCCAGTGATGCACCACGTTTGTCTGTCGTAGGTTGATGCCCTCATCAGTCCCCTCACCAGTGTCTGGGAAGGATTCATGAAGTCCCCTTTTTGCTATCGCTCAGAAGTAGGAAGCTCACAGGCAGCAAAAGTCTTTCCCCTCTTCTCACCAGCACTCCCCTCAAAGCATGGCATGGCATGCTTCAGGCTGGCATGGCAGCAGCAGGACTTAGAGATCTTCCTTGAAAGAAAACTAGGGTTGCAAAGCCACTTTACCCCATCATTTTTCCCCGCACACAACAGCGAGTGGGTACCTAATCTCTCAGCCTTTGTGCAAGGTGCCATCCAGCCAGCGAGCCCGGGCTGCGGTGGAGGGCAGAGTGCCACCACGCTCCAGGACTAGCAAAGGGCTCATGACGGTGCAGTTCAGTAAGATTTTGTTAATCATTTAGGCAGTCTCTGTTTAATTCAGACATCTCAGTCTCTCCATTCGGTTCCTCCCTCGGGTTTTGCAGACTCCGAGCAGACAGATTTATCGGGGTCTTAAGCATAATCAGGAACAAATTAGCCTCTGTTAGGATCACACACTGGCCTCGATCACAGCTATCCGAAGGCTGCCTTCCCATCCATGTGAGTATGAATTAAGTCATCAGATTGGAGTAGGTCTTGAGTATTCTTTTATCCCAAACACATGATCTTATCAGAAGCCCATTACGTTTATCATCGCATTAGGAGGGAACGTTTGGAGCCAGCGCAGGAGTATGTTGCCATATAAATGGCATGCTTACTCCAGTGCCTGTCGTGAAAACAAGTCAGTGCTTTGGGAAGGCCAGGGAAACCCTGGCCAAACGCGTACGCCTAAAATTAGGCTGTGAGTTTCTGGGTATGTGTCTGCACCAGTGGGATGGCTGCACTGGGGATGTGTAAAGAGAACGTACATGTGTTTGTGTGTCAGTGTTTCTGTCAGTGTGGGTGTGTAGCAGGATGTGTTTGAGTGCCGGTGTTTGACTGCAAGGGCATATCTGACTGTGCCTGTGTTTATAGGCTGAAGGTTGGGTCTTTTTAATATGGTAGGTCTTGTCTTTTTTTCTTTTAATTTCCCTTTTACAGAAATAAGCTTCTTTTCATAAAATGACAATGAAACTCTTTTTCCAAAAATACATTATTTTCATATGTTTGGGATTTGTTTTTGAGGATTTTCTGATTGCTGACCACAGTCTTTCCAGACCTGAATATTTCTCAGAGATTTCTGCTGAGACTCTTGCTCAAACTGGGACATAGTGCTCTGAGGCGGGTGAGCTGCTTTGCGTTATCCCACTGTACTTGGGCACAGCAGAGACCTGGCCTACGCTTTGGTACATCTCTGCCGAGAGAGGAGCAGAATGAGAGAATGCAGAAGAATAAGGTGCAGGAATCAAGAGCTTCCCTCCATGGCCATCACAGTTGCACGCTCTTTCTGCTCCTCCTTGAGCTGGCTAGGCACAGAATTGTCTCTCCCAGGGGTGAATGAGCCACACCGGTGTAGCACTGTGCCATCAGTAATAATCTCTGCAGAGAAACAAGGTACGGTACAGGGTTGTCCAAACTGAGGCTCTCAAGGCCTGTATGGTTCCTGAGCAGTTCAAGTACATGTTCCCAGCTGGGTGAGTGTCAGGTGAGGAGTAGCAGAGCCCTGCTGGCATCAGGGCTGTTTGGCAATCCAACCGTGGGAGCAGGCGAGGCAGCTGGGTCGCTGGGGCCACCACTGCTAGGTTGCCTTAGGGCCCATCTGCACGTTCACCCAAGCCCCCTCTCACCGTGGAGTAAAGGGACAACCCAGGCAGCCATCATCATCTTTTGTCTGTGAAGCACTCTCCCAAGGCTTCTCCTCTGAGCTCTTTGAGATGTGTGGCATATGTTTGGTGGCCGCCAACCATATATGAAGATTTGAAGATGAGACATGTAGGGTCAAAGAGTTTGGCCACCCTGGGAATATTCGCTCAGATGTGAGGCTGCACTCATACAGCTGAACGGCTTCAAGGTTCATGCCGGCTTCTTTTTGCCAGCTCGGAGTGATGGCCCAGCAAATACACAGTTCCCCACACTTACCCACGTACACAAGTTGGCCACAGAGGTCGTGATGAAATGAAACCATAATGCAATTCTTCCCTGATAAACTTCTCCATTCTTTCAAACTCACACCGTCTTAAGAACCTGGAATTTTGCACACGGGATTGGGAGGAAGGGAGGGGAAAAGGAGTGAAAGTCATTAAATAATTGAATTGCAATAAACTGATTTTTTTCTGGCTCATGATGGTATTTCACTGTGTAAACCAAGAGAAAAAATAAACAGGGGATTTAGTAGCTTGGAAGTAGCTCAAAATTGAGCAGCCTTTGGATTTTCTGACACCTAGCTTGAGATAGTCCAATGCTACTGACAGGACTATCCTTAGGGATCGTTTCCATCAGTCCAGCTAGCGGCTCTGGCTAATTTCCTACCATTTTTTCAGCAGGCTTATTTGCCAGACAAAAATACAACAGGCTGTCAGAACTGGATACCTCTGGGGACTGGCAATGATAATACAATACAAAATAGGATACCAACAGGTCAAAGGTTTCCATTTCACAGAGTACTCTAATGACTGAAAGTCATTATTGCTATGCAGTCTGTTTGAAAGGAGTAGATGGATCTCAGTTCAGTTTTTAATGGGCCAGTGTTACAGAAACAACCTCAAAAATTTGGCATCTTTGTTGGCAGTCTCATTAGAGAAGCCACAGAATAAATGGACAAGGATAATAAAGTCTCCTGCTGCTTTTGATCCTTTCAGGTCAAATCTGAGTCATGTTGGTTGAAGCTGTGTGTGTATGTGGCAAGCTTGCCCTCACACTATGTGTCCGTATCTTCTCTTTGGATAAACAGATCTGTTTGGCCCTTTGGTCACTACGGCTGTGAACCTGGCAGTTTTCACCATCTCTAAATTCACAGTTGCTGCTGTTGTTGTTCTGCAGATATCTTTTAACAACAAAAAGGGAAACGTTGGAGACCAGACCCTCTGTTGGCATTTTTCCATTCGAGCTGATGGAATTATGCCAACACCACATTGTCTCTCTATGTATTTTCTATCTCCGCTTTCTTCTGTTTCCATCCCTTTAAATGGAGATAGACGAAAATAAGCAGAAAATCATTTACATTAGGAAATGTCTCGGGGGAGATGCCAAATACAAAAGTTGACTATTGTTGCTTGGCTTTCTTAAAATCACCTTGCTATTGCCTAGAAGCAACCAACACTTTCACTTCCCAGTGACATGGTCCAGCAGTACATTATCACTGATGTTCTCAGGTCCTAGTAACTAGATTGCAGACTTGTGTAGCCAGACCTTTGTGATTTCTCTTCTCCACTTTCTCCTGGCAGATGAACCCAGCAGGTGCTATTTCCACGATGGTGATGGAGTATGTGAAGAATTCGAGCAAATGACCAGCATCAAAGACTGTGGCGTTTACACTCCCAAAGGCTTCCTCGACCAGTGGGCTTCCAATGTCTCTGTCTCACATCACAGTGACCAGCAGTGCCCAGGATGGGTGGTCATCGGTCAGCCAGCAGCAACCCAGGTAAGGAAAGCATACTGACTTTCCCCTCCGGGAAAGCAAAGTCCAGCAAGGAGCAACATTCATGAGCATAGCTAAGATGGTCAGCGTTCATGTGTGATGTTACCCCCGCCTGTTCACTCACCAGTTCACCAAGGAAGGCTTCTGACAGCAGTTTCTCACTTCCTGAGCCTGGTTAGTAGCGATGAGTTGAAATTCAGTTCCAATCATCCAACTGAAAACTGGCTGAAGTTGAAGTCTGCTTGACTCGATAAGCTGTGTAAGAGTCACCTCGACTAACATCACCTAAAAGACTAGACAGGCTCTCTGCAGCTAGCACAGGGTACTGCCTTGTGGCGATGAGTTCTGAAGGCTAATGCTGAATAACACAAAAGAGTGTTCTTTCTTTTTTAATAGTTTTGTGTTTTCTGTCTCCCAGTTTCATAAAAGCACCCTATTGTTCTATTCTGAGAAAGGTCCTGTCCATTCCCAAAGCCATTCATCAGCTTTAACCCCCTTCTTACATGTCTCCTTTGTAACATAAATAGCTCCAGTTACCATAACTTTACCTTTTGTCTCCCTGAGAGAATTAGATCCAAATGAGTTCAAAAAGACATTAGATAAATGGCTGGAAAACAGAGCTGTGCACAGCGCAGATGCAACAGTCTAGATGCAACCCACTGACTCAGGAAAGCCCACATTGCTTATTGTTGGGTTTTTAGAGGATACAGCAGGGAAAAGATCATCATATAGAAGAGCTGCTTCGTATATTCCTCCTTCAGCATCCACCGTTGTCCCTCGCTGGAGATAGAGCCGTGAACTAGGTGGCCTTTTGGTTTGATGCAGCAAAGTTATTCCTACAGTCTAATTA